TGAAGAATGTAGTGACCAGTGTTGTGCAATCCACATTATGTCTTGTGCAGTGCAAATATGCTTAAAGTGATTAAGTGATGAAGTGAAAACAATGTCCAGAATGCCCAGTGTGTGTGTAAGAACTATATGTGTAGAAATTAAGCTAACTAACACTAGGAGAATCTTTCATGGAGACTTTCTATGAATGTAATTTTTACGTGTGTCACTTTTCTTTTTTGAAACACAGACTTTACTTTTAACAAAGCTAGTGTCTCTTTCTCTTGCAGAGGTACAGCTCTAGAGCTCAGTCAGCTAGGAGCGCTTACACCTGGAGCAAACCAAATCATGAAATAAGGAGGGGGGAGGAAGGGTCAGATGCTGACTTGATTTTATCCTTTGTTGCCAAACAGAAAACAAAACTAATGCTAGAAAACAAACATGTTTATAAGTACCTTGTGAAGCAAACATTACTTTATGGTGATAAGTTATTAATTTTCATGGTAATAACAACAACAACAACAACAACAACAACAATAATAATAATAATAATAATAATAATAATAATAACAACAACAACTAATTGAATGTTACTCATGGGGCTTTAGAATCATCACCTTCCTCCCCTGCACCCCTGCCAGCACATGTGCGCACACCAAAGCATAAAGCACAATCAATCATTTCTCATTATCACTTAAAGTAATATACAATACAGGCATCAATGTCAGATAAACATGCAGTGTAATCTTAACATTCCAATCATACTTTTTGTGTGTGAAATACATGACATGTATAAATGAAATGTAAAGACAAAAACAAGTTGTAAATTGTAATTTATGAATCATTGTTAATATTTCTACTGCATGCAGGTTAAAGTGAACAGGTACCTGGGGGAACACATGGACCAGAGTCACTTTCTGAAGGAGTACTGGATTGCTCTTGTTCAAGAGATGTATTTATGATGCATTTTATGATCAGGAAGACCAAAGTCAAGACCAAGACCAAGGCAAGCCCAGCCCACTAAAACAAAGAACAGTGATAAACAATGGGAAAAAACAAAACATTTATAATCAAACCTGTCATAAATGTTGTATTACCACAGGAAACAAATTACCTCATTTCACATATCACATTCTCACCACACCACTTTAAAAAAAACGAGTTTACTTACCTGAGAGAGAAAGTACCAGTCCTGAGATTTGTTCAGTCTATCCTGATATAAGGTACCATTTTCTGGTTCACACCACTTCAGTGGGGCAGCTTTGTCAGCAGTTACATACCTGCCTGACCAGTCAGTCATTCCACAAGAAAAGTAGCTGCCATCAAAGAGCATCAAGATCATCCACACAAATGTAGGGACACAGCAGTGAAAGAATCGCTTTGCATTGTCTGTGTCACGTGAGCACTTCAGTTCTTGCATTGAAGCCATCAGCACATAAGCCAAGATTCCAGGAATGATGAAGAATGTAGCCACAAACCCACCATTCAAGTATGTCCCTTTACAGGGGCACTCAAACTCTGTCTGCACCAACCTTTCCAGGACCGTCAAAATAAGGACAAACACAACATTTGATGCAAGTGGGCCATTTTGAAATTCTCTTTTCACTCTTTCCAGCCATTCTTGTTTTCCTTTCTTATTCGCTTCTGCAGGCATAGACAAAACCAAAGATTAAAAGTCAGAGAGATATTAATTTGATAAATCTAAAGATACTTTTTCTGTGATATATTAATGCTAATCATAAATAATAATCCCCAGACTGTAATGCTCATTAGACATGAATTACAAGTTAATCTCAATGTTAACCTGATAATGGGAAAAAATATGTACACTACATACACTAAAAACACTACAGGAGTCATGTAAAATCCAATTCATTTAATTTAAAAAAAAAAAAAAAACCTACTCAGAGGTTACTGTGGAGGAAGAGGCGGGGTGCTCGAGAAGAGAAATGAAAAACACTGGGGAGGGTGTTAAATAAATGACACTGTACTTAGATATTTCTATTTCATTTCTCTGTTTGCCAAAGTCCTCAAAAACCCCACTAGAAATGCTTTACATAAATAGACATGAACTAATTGTACAGAGAGCAGATATTGGGATTTCACTGGCACTGACAAGATTAGACACGAAAAAACGAACTGGCATTTTTCGTTCAAATAAAACCTGTTGCCACTAATCAATCCAGTTCTTGTGTAATTTATCACAATATGTTCTTTCTTTCAGAGGAAATTATAGAGCCTTTCCATCTACTTCCTTTTCTTAAGAATGGCTTCTTCATGGCCACCCTTCTACTGAGACCATTACTGATGAGGCTTCAAGGTCAAGGTCAAATTTATTTATATATAAAATAAAATATAAAAATTAAAGTTAAAAATGAAATAACTGTACAACACAAATTAGACTGAAGGGTAAATTTAACTGGGAAAGAATAAGATAAAATATATAAATTAAAGT